TGTAGATCAGTGGGTTTAACATGGGCACCACAATGGTATAGAACAGAGAGGACACTTTCCCTTGGTCCAGGGGCAAAATAGAAGGTGGTTTGAGATACATGAAAGCCCCAGAACCAAAGAAAAGAGAAACCACAATTATATGAGAGCTACATGTACTGAAAGCTTTGGACCTGCCCTCAGTGGAGTGAATGTGCAGAATGCTGGACAGAATCAGAGCATAAGAGATGAAGATGGTGATAATGGGCATTCCAATGTCAATGGCCACAAGGATGAAGACCACCAGTTCATTTACATAAGTGCTGTTGCAGGACAGCTCGAGGAGAGGAAGGATGTCACACATGAAATGATTGAGAAGGTTGTCAGCACAGAAGGTCAGACTTGCTATGCTTCCCATATGGACCATAGCCCCTGAAAGCCCCATCACGTAGACACCCAACAAAAGGAATAGACAGACCTGAGGAGACATGGTGACCATGTACACCAATGGTTTACAGATGGCTACATAGCGGTCATATGCCATCACTGACAGGAGGAAGGACTCAGAAATGACAAAGAAGCAGAAGAAAAAGAGTTGAGTCATACACTCTGCATGCAAGATGATGTTCTTCTTTGAGAAAAAACTCTTCAGCATTTTGGGGGTGATGGTAGTGGAGTAGCAGAAATCTATCAAGGAGAGGTTGAAGAGGAAAAAGTACATGGGAGTGTGTAGGCAAGAATTCAACCGAATCAGGGCTATCAAGGCCAGGTTTCCCAGCACAGTGACCATGTAGAAACCTAGAAACAGGAAGAAGAGAGGGATCTGGAGTTCCAGCTGGTCTGTTAAACCTGTAAGGATAAACTCTGTCACAGAAGAGTTCTTAGCTGCCATTCTCCTCTTGGGGATGAGTGGAGCAAGGGCAGTCTGGAGAAAAGAAAAGAGAACCAGTTAGACAGAAAGAAATACCACCACTCACCCAGGATCCATCCCCCATTCTGAAGAACGGAATCCACAGAGAGATTTGAACGTTAAGACAGATGGTAGGAAGGCTTTTGCTGTTTGTTATGGATCTGTCCTACAGCCCAAGTGACTTTATCTTCCAGAGAGAACAGTTAGAGTCTAAACTTTGCCTCCAGAGAGAAAACAGTAATTTATTCATATCCCAATTCATTAAAAAATAAGACAGATATCTTTTAGATCTTTAAGTTAGTCCATGTTCTATGTCCTTCTATCTCCTGCCTGTGCTTCCATTGCTAAACCCTGGGCCTCTTCCCTGAAGAGAGTCCTGTCAAAAGACACTGCGACCCCTCGAACCCCCACCACTGGGTCACTGCTGTCAAATCAAGAAGGTGAGGCCACATTTTTACAGTCTCTCCTAGCTCAAGTGGGTTTAGATTTCATGATAATTTTTTAAAGCTAGCACCTACTTAAGTGGTTCCTATGAGATGCTAGACACTAAGAGCTGTATGACAATATTATTATCCCTATTTTGCAGATGAGACAACAAAGTCCTCAAAATACTGGGGTGCGGCCAGAAGGTGGATTTTAGCAGTCTGACTCTCAGGTGTACCCTCATAACCACTATGTTACATGACTGACAGGGTTAGGAAGTCACTCACCTTCCTTCAGTTTAGAGCTGTAATGCTATACTCTACTGTTTCTTTTCCACAATTGTCCTGCGATAGAAAATTACCATAATGAATAGAAAATGGTAGTTTGAGCTAAGAACCCTCCCCTTCCAATCTGATCTAAAGGATCAGAAACCCTAATTTATCTTGTAGCCATTTCTACACTGAAGAACATGATTTCCAATTGTTAATTTGGAAGCTATAACTATAAGGAAGGAGATGCGCCTTTTCCAGACCAGAGAATAACAGGAAATAAGAAGTTTTATTCGGATTACAGATCTCAGTGGCCTAATTATTAAGACAAAGACTCCCTCAAAACCATTTCCTCAGAGATTATTTTCCCAAAGGAATAAGAAGTGTTTATTTATACCCTTAATATTGGTTGATTTGGCTTTTAGAGACAATTATTTCCACAGACATTTATCCAGTACTATTAAAAGAAAATTCATTGTGGAAAAAAAATTATCATCATTACTATTTTTGAATGCCCAGTAATATACCTGACACTGAACCCTTCTACTGACTTCTGGCTGCCAATATCCAATACAAATACGGAATCCAGGCACCTATTTTGTAACCACTAGCCTAAACTTCCTCCTGACGAGAGCTACTGAAATCCATGAAGCTAAGGTCTTCATTTTCTTGGATCTGGCAAACTCTTGGGAAGAAACAAGTAAATATGCTGCGACTTTAATAAAAAGAAGTGCTTAGAATTTGGAAAGATCAACACAAAAGGCTCTCATAAATTAGGGTAGAACATTCAGTCATTTCTTCATATTCTGATTCATTCTAGGAATGAATTGCAGTATGTCTAGCTCAAACAAGAAGCTAGATTTCTCTGATCCCCTTACTCTGTCTTCCCATGGAATATAAGATTAATTGCAACAAAATAATTTCTATCAAGTAAATGCTCCTAACCTCTGCCAAGAACAGCCTTTTCCTAAGTTACTAACTGGTCAAAAGTGCCTTTGACTATCCCTGCCTTCCACCCACTTTTCTTGAAGCGCTATTGGCTTTCTAGCTTCTTGGTGCTCTCAAATTGAATCCTGCAGGCTAAGATTCTCAACATAGGCAAACATGCAAATTTGTTCTTCCTCTTTAGTTTGCTTTTGTCTTTTTCTGTCTTCTACTCTCCACACAAGCTTCTACCTTGACAAAAGTTGTCTATCATTTGACTTGATCTCTCAGAGCTCTAGGTACCATTCTTTAATAGCAAGCATACACACTAACAGGATTTTAGACCTGAAGACACTTGGGAAATTATCAATTCAGTATTTCCCGAATGTGGATGAACACCACAATTACCTGGGGTGTTTATTAGAAAGAAATTCTGGGCTCGCCACCCAGACCTTCTGAATCAGAATCTGTATGGGTATGAGTATAGTAATTATATTTTTTAATCTTTCCAGGTTATTACAAATCAGCAATTTATGGATGGACAAAGCCAATATTTACCCCCATCTTATATACAGTGACACTAAGGAGATCCCGAGAAGTAAAGCCATTTGCCCAAGGTCACAGATCTAATTTAAGTCTCCAGGTTTCCAGTCTCTCCTGGTCTTTGGGGTCTATATGACCTCCTGATGGGCTGGAATGCAGAAAACAAGTCCTTTAAAAGTAAGCTATCAGACTTCAGATTTTAGATGTAAAGTAGTAGCTAATATCACACTACCACCCTCTAACCATAAACAAGTATGTGACTGGAAAAAATATATAAAGCATCTATTTGAAAGCTTTGAGAAGCAGACAGCTCAGGGAGGAAATTCTTAAGAAAAGGCAAGAAAATGAACTACCATTTTCACCCTTTCTCTCTAAGGGCAGTTTCCAAATCAAACCTAGTGAAATGGAGCCCAAGCGAACAGCAGCAGCCTCTACTAGTGGAATAAAGATCAGTGTTCAGGGATGCTAGGACAGCTGGAATCTGTGGGGCAAGACATGAAAAGGAAAAAGCCAAAGAAAAGGACCCTCAGGCATATGCATAGAGGACTCCCTTGAGTTCTTAGCTAAATTCTAAATTTTGTATGTTCATGGCAAGACTCTGTATGTCTAGGACACAGCAGCTCTTGGAAGACTAGGACCTGAAGAGATGTCACAGAGGATCCACAGCACTGGGGAGCTGTTAGGATTCTGGCCTAGTGAGAGTGGAGACTCTTTGATGAACAAAGCAGACATTAAGATGACAGCTCTGAAATCCATACCCTAAGAATAAGGACTAGGCCATCAGGTTAAGGGCAAAGCTGAACTAGACCTATCATAACAAAGGCTAAATCCAAGTCTTAGCAGGATCAGGGTGATCTACTAGGAACTGCATCCCAGAACAAAAGGCAACAATCTATAGAGAAGAGTAACATAATCCACTGTCTCTATAATATATTCATAATTCCAGCATCATAAAACAAAAAAAAAATCACTAGAAATACAAAGAAGCAAGAAAATATGACCCAACACCATTTGTTGAAAAGACTTGTCTTTTTTTTTCCATTGGATATTCTCTCCTGGTTTGTTGAAGATGAGTTGACCATATAGTTGTGGGTCCATTTCTGGGTTTTCTACTCTGTTCTATTGATCTATGTGTGTGTTTTTGTGCCAGTACCATACTGTCTTAATGACTACAGCTTTGTAACATAGCTTGAAGTCTGGAATCTTGATGCCTCCAACTTTGCTTGTCTTTTTCAGGATTGCTTTGGCTATTTAAGGTATTTTGTGATTGCACACAAATTTTAGAATTATTTGTTCTAGCTCTGTGAAAAATGCTGATGTTGTTTTGATAGTGATTGCATTGAATGTGTAGATTGCTTTGGGTAGTATACACGTTTTAACAATGTTTATTCTTCTAACCCATGAGCATAGGAATGTTTTCTTTTTCTCCATTTCTTTGTGTCCTCTTCAATTTCTTTCATAAGTGTTCTATAGTTTTCAGAATACAGATATTTTACCTCTTTGGTTAGGCTTATTCCTAGGAATCTTATGGGTTTGGGTGCAATATTAAATGGGATTGATTCCTTGATTTCTCTTCCTGCTGCTTCATTATCAGTGTATAGAAATGCAACAGATTACTGTACATTAATTTTACATCCTGAGACTTTGCTGGATTCATGTATTAGTTCTAGCACGGCAAAGTCTTTCAGGTTTTTTGCATAGCGTTTCATGTCGTCTGCAAATAGTGAAAGCTTAACTTCCTCATTGCTGATTTGGATGCCTTTTATTTCTTTTTGTTCTCTGATTGCTGAGGCTAAGACTTCCAGTTCTATGTCAAATAGTAATGGTGAGAGTGGACATCCCTGTCTTCTTCCTGAACATAGAGGAAAACCTCTTAGTTTTTCTCCATTGAGGATGATATTAGGTATGGGTCTTTAGTATATGGCCTTTATGATGTTGAGGTACGTTCCATCTATCCCTACCTTGTTGAGCTCTTTTATGGAGAATGGATACTGTATTTTATCAAATGCCTTTTCTGATCTATTGAGTGTATCATATGGTTCTTATCCTTTCTTTTATTAATGTGGTGTATCATGTTGATTGGTGAATATTGTAGCACTGCTGCAGCCCAGGAATAAATAAATCCCACTTGATCGTGGTAAATAATTCTTTTAATGTACTGTTGGATTCAATTTGCTAGTATTTTGTGGAGAATTGACTTTTTAAAATAATAGATGAAATAATCATATTGTTTTTATCCTTTCTTTTGTTGATGTGATGTACCACATTGTTTGATTTACAAATATTGGACCACCCCTTGCATCCCTGAAATAAATCCCATTTGATTGTGGTGAGTGGTTTTTTAATGTACTGTTGGATTTGGTTTGCTAATATTTTGTTTAGGATTTTTGGATCCATGTTCATCAGAGATACTTGCCTGTAGTTTTCTTCTCCTTCTCCTTCCCCTTCCCTTTCCCCTTCTCTCCTCCTCCTCCCCCTCCTCCTCCTCCCCCCTCCTCCTCCTCCTCCTCCTCCTCCTTCTTCTTCTTCTTCTTCTTCTTCTTCTTCTTCTTCTTCTTCTTTCTGTAGTATCTCTGTCTGGGTTTGGTATCAGGGTAATGTTGACCTCATAGACTCAATTTGGAAGTCTCTTTAGTCTTCTACTTTTTTGGCATAGTTTAAGAAGAATAGGTATTAATTCTTAATTGAATGTTTGGTAGAATTCACCTGTGGAGCCATCTGGCCCTGCACTTTTATTTGTTGGAAGGTTTTGATTACTGATTCAATTTTATTGCTACTAATCAGCCTGTTCAAATTTTCTGTTTCCTCCTGATTCAGTTTTGGAAGGTTGTATGTTTCTAGAAATTTTCTTCTAAGTTGTCCCACTTGTTGGCGTATACCTTTTCATAATTACCTCTTATAGTCTTTTGTATGTCTGTGGCATCAGTTGTTTTTTCTTTTCCCTCATTTCTGATTTTATTTGTGTCCTCTTTCTCTTTCTTGATTAATCTGGTTAAAGAGTTATCAATTTTTTGTTGATCTTTTCAAAGAACCTGCTCCTGGTTTCATTTATCTTTTCTGGTTTTTTTGTTGTTGTTATTGTTTTTGGTCTGTAGTGGTAATTTATTTCTACTCTAATGTTTATTATTTCCTTCCTTCTCCTAGCTTTGGGCTTTGTTCCTCTTTTCCTAACTCCTTTAGGTCTAAGTTGGGTTGTGTATTTGAGATTTTTCTTGTGCCTTGGGTAGGCCTATATTACTATAGATGCCCCTCTTAGAACCACTTTTGCTACATCCCAAAGATTTTGGAATGTTGTGTTTTCATTTTCCTTTTTCTTCATGTGTTTTTTTATTTCCTTGTCAGTTTCTTGGTTGACCCATTCATTGGTTGGTAGCATGGTGTTCAGCCTTCATGTATTTGTGTTCTTTCTAGATTTTTTTCTTGTGATCAATTTCTAGTTTCACATTGTTTTGGTTGGAAAAGGTGCATGATATGATTTCAATCTTTTCTAATTTACTGAAACTTGTTTTCTGCCCTAACATGTGATATATCCTGAAAGATGTTCCAGGTGTCCTTGAAAAGAATATGTATTCTGCTGTTTAGGGATGGAATGTCCTGTATAGTTCTATT